CTTATTCCAAACTACTAATAAACCCTCCCTTATCTTTCCCTGCTTTGGTGCTCGGAGCCTCCTCTACGTTTTTCATCCAAAATCAAAAATTGTGGATTTATTTTTATGGATTTGGTTAGCTGGTCTCTTAATAAATTTTTAGAACAATGGTTTTTTTCCATGGGAGGATATGTCAAAGGTGGGACCTCTGTTTTTCTCTGTTCAACTTGCTGGATATATACAGTATTTGGATTCTGATAGTGTTGTAGTCAAGACCACCTAACCCGAGACCAAGACAAGACCAAGACCACAGTGTCTCCAGACCGAGACAAGACCAAGACTTTCAGGGTTTGGACCAAGTCGAGACCAAGACCGAGGGAGGTTGAGGCCGAGACAAGACCAAGACTTTTAGGGTTTGGACCAAGTCGAGACCAAGACCGAGGGAGGGCGAGACCGAGACAAGACCAAGACCAGATGAAAAAAAAGTGTCCTAAAAGATGGAGTATTGTGTACACATGTACAGTGGGGGAAAAGGTATTTAGTCTTTCAAAGTTGAGGTCGAACTATGATGTCAATCACAGGCCTCTCTCATCTTTTTAAGTAGGAGAACTTGAACAAATGGTGCTGACTAAATACTTTTTCCCCACTTTGGCTAACTTTATTAAGTTAGCCAAAGTGGGATCTCTACATTTTTGCAGAGCTAATATTGACTAAATCTTTGTGTGAGGGCAGAGGGAAGAATTTTGCTACAGAGGCAGGTTGTTAATGTTAGTGACGATAAAAGTTTGATGTTGTCTAACATGTTCTCATGTCATATACAGTATGTTGACGCGGGGGATACCCACCGCGCGTCCGTCCATGCCGCCCGTGGCTTTTCCAGGTTGCGTCACGTCTGAGGTTACCAAGAGGGATCGGATTAATGGTTAACTTTAGGGTCTGTGGTTAACATGACGGATCAGGATTAATGGTTAACTTTAGGGTCTGTGGATAACATGAGGGATCAGGACTAATGGTTAACTTTAGGGTCTGTGGTTAACATGACGGATCAGGATTAATGGTTAACTTTAGGGTCTGTGGATAACATGAGGGATCAGGATTAATGGTTAACTTTAGGGTCTGTGGATAACATGAGGTATCAGGATTAATGGTTAACTTTAGGGTCTGTGGATAACATGAGGGATCAGGACTAATGGTTAACTTTAGGGTCTGTGGATAACATGAGGGATCAGGATTAATGGTTAACTTTAGGGTCTGTGGATAACATGAGGTATCAGGGTTAATGGTCAACTTTAGAGTCTGTATTCAGCGATAGGCTATATAAGGCTAATAGAAGTTAAATTTAGGTTCTGGGATGGTTAGTTTCACGCAATCCTAACGCACTCGTCCTCCTCCACCTCATCTCATACAGAACGGACGTGGGGTACCCCCAGCATCAACTTATTGACACCTGGTCAGTCCCAGCCCAAAGCGTCAATACCTTGACGCGGGGGCATGAGAAAGGGCTTCGTTGTCCCCACCATCTCTGAAAGTGAAGCACTGCCAAATTTACAAGTTGCTCTACGATTTCTCCTGGTTGTTGTTGTTTTACAATGATATTATTTATGAATAATGTAGCCAAATGTTTTAGTTAAATTTTGAAGACATCCTTTACCGCTCCCAGAGAACCACGGTGCACTTTCCGGGAGGGCTGCTTGCAAGTGACAGGGGGTGCGGATGGGTGACAGCTGGTAACAAAAATAAATAAATAGCAATAAGTCCGGTTTGGATTTGAATCAGTAGCTACGTTTTAAATCCAATGAAAGCAAGAATGTTAACTAATAAAATAGCAACATTCTGGTGATATTTCCACAGTTGTGGTCTTGACTGGTCTTGAAATAAAATTCCGAGTCCTCAATGTCCAAGACCGAGACAAGACCGAGTACAAATGCTGTCGAGTCCGAGACGAGACCAAGGCCATCAAAAAATGGTCTTGAGACCGGTCTTAAGACCAAGACCAGTTTCAAGTACTACAACACTAGATTCTGATCACTGGATTCTATAGATTGGCTTGGTGGTCTCCTGTGTTCTACAAAACAGCATCTGTGGCTATTCAGGCCATTTCCTGGCTGCCTGATCAATATGAAGGATTGCCATACTGTCACCATTCAGACTTTTGCCTTGTGCGAGCTGGGCTTGGTCTGCAAGCGGTTCTGCTGAGGGTCGCGGGCCTACTGTGGTCCCTGGACTTTGCTGGCCAGATGGAATTGATCTTGGAGAAGCTGATATCTCGGCGGAATTGTCCACATTATCTGTCTGAATGGATTCACCACCTTGAGATATACCAGTGAACATTAAGGCAGATCAAAAGGAAAAAAAAATAGTATAGGTCTTCTGGACGGGTTCTTCTTTAATGAAACGTTTCGTCTCTCCTCCAAGAGACTTCTTCAGTCTGAGAGTTTCAGGCAAAATTCAGGCTTTTGAGTCCTGCCTCCAGGTGACTGCAGTCACCTGGAGG